AGTGAGAACCAAACAGGCTGAGGTAAGACAATATTTGCTAAACTTTAATGCATCTCAGTGCATCAGTATTAGGTCTTATCAGTTGTTAAAGAGTTAGCGGTCTTCGGAATTAAAGAATAGCTCTTTTTCCTACAAAACGTTCGATTATTCGGAATGTTACGCCTTACATTGACTGACTGATGCTAAGCAAATTTTCTTATCTCTTCGTCTTTATCAAAAAGCTTCAAAAAAAAAGAATCGAAGAGAGCATTTCCAGTGGGAACCAAACACAGGCTGAGGTAAGACAAAATCTTGCTAAACTTTATTGCAGCCCAGTACATCAGTACTAGGTCCTATCAAAAGTTGTGAAAGAGGTAGCGGTCTTCGAGCTTAAAGTATATTTTGCCCTTTTTCCTACAATGTGATTACTAATACCAAGCGAATTTTAGATGCCGATCCGTTCATCAAAAGAACTTCAAATAGAAGAATCGCTTTTTAAAATCCTGTCTTAGAGCAGACACAGAAGCACTACGAAGAGCGGAGGAGACACAAGAAGAGAGAACTCGCCGTCTCAAAATCTAACAAGAAGAGCCAGAACCAGAGGCCGGACTCATCATTGAATTTACCTAGGTTAAATGCGGCCACGCCCCTACCTCGGCGAGATTCATAATTTTTGATACCACTACCTTAACCACAAAAGAAGGAGTAAATATGTACCCGTCGCTGACGCAGGGTTTTGCAGATACCTTGCCTTTTCACAACTTGACCCAGAGGTGATGGGAACTGGCGCATGCTGAGAACACCGCATGACGCAATTGCGGGACATGTCCCGTTAGCTCATAGATGAAATTTAACACAGATTGCTCACCGTAATGGTGACATTAGGCTGCAATGGATATTCTGAAACTGAGCAAAGTTAATCTGCTCAAGAACTGTGATTTACAGCTGCTTTCATGAAGTTGAAAAGACATTCACATTTATGATGCAAGGATTTAAATTCCAGAATGAGATTCTCAGAATCTTCCCTTTCTTCTACATACTTTCAGGGGAACTCGAGAAAATTATTTTTTAGTATCTACGTTGTTGTGACAGATGAGAAATTCAATTAATGTTTGAGACATTCTCTTTGGTGGTTGGCCCACTATGCTACCTAGTTCATTC